GCCAAATTCTCTGTCTACTCTACCTTCTAAAGCATATTAAGTTGTTTAAGGCTTTTAAAATCCTGAATATATGTTTTAATTATAGACAACATTTTCCTCAGAGTTCCCAGGAATGGCCAGTAGTATATACTTTTAAGTTCAACCAAATTGTCGATAAATGAACTCATGGCACATAATTTCAACTAAGTCACTCAAAACTCCTGCTGGGTGGCAGCCCTCTTGCTATCTGCCAATAGCAAAGGGTAAAGCTTGTATGGTTCTGTGATTTAGATCTGTGACCAAAACAATGCTGATAGGACACAAAGGTTTCAGACTTTGCTGAGCAGTTCCCTGTTTCTCCTTCTGCCCCCCTAGTGCTGAAAATGTGCAAAAGGTTGGGAGGGGGCACAGCCAGGCAGACGACCTGAATAGGAATAGTATCACAGCAATGTCTGATTTTCAGTCCATTTTTCCCCCATGGAAAACCAGAGTATAATACTGGAGTTCATCTCCATCTCACCTTTTCCAGATGATATTAGTTTCTGTCTCTACTAAAGCCACCCTTCCTATTGCATTCGCTACTTGAGATGCCCACAGCACCCACATCCACAGCAAGAATAACAGGATCAGAAGTTGAAGCAAGTCCATCAGCAATAATAAAAGTGATAGCAGGGAAACAGTTTAGCCAATGAACACAAATACTGCAGGATGTGCACAGTTTCTAGATGCCACAGTACAGCATTGCTGCTTAATTTTGCAGATCTAAGTCCTGCAATAGCAGCCAGGAAAGAAGAGAAACTGATGGAAAGAGTATAAGGTCACCATTTCTGATTCCATTTGCCCACATTAACTCTAAACTAAAAGCCTACATACTCAGTCCCAGTTGGATATGCCATCATCCATAAAGCCACTAGGACTGTTAGTCATTGTTTTCAACCTCGCAGGCAAGTTCTCAGACCTATTGAACTGTGGTCAAACAGAGTTGTTCTGCACTAAAAGGCAGAACACTGGAAGAGCTGGAAGAACTGAAATGCTTTCAAACTATACAACACAAACCCGGAGAGAGACATCAGAGATCTGCTGGCATTCCCAATTGAAGCCCTGCAAACCTGTGACAATAGTAATGGGGAAGCTGTACAGTGGTAACTATGTATTTATGCTCCATTAAATACTTACCAGTTGTTAGCTGCTCATATCTTGTCTTACAATTGCTGGTCCAAGACATTTTCACATAAAATATCAGAATTAAATAAGATCTTAAAATCACAGCAGAAAAAGCTGGGAGAGACTTTGAAAAGTCATTTTGCCTGATCCCAAAACCAAACTGTACCTATCTCTCATTCCAGCCTGGTGGGTGACCAAGACTTGTGCATCAATGGCCAGAAATCACAAAACAAAGAATAATAAAAATATTACCCTCAAAGACAGTGGTCCATGAAGAATGGCTTCAACTTTATTCTAAAAGGTTAATTACACTTGTGGGTTTTTGATAAAATTGGGTTTACTGCATGTATGCTCTAGGGCACTTGCTTTACAAAAGCTAGACATTTAAAAATAATGAATTGATGCATTTTCAGTTCTAATATAGAACTTAAAGCAGGCTCATCAGAGCCATTTCAGACTGCCAGCCGTCCTCAGACTACATGTGCAAGGGCACATGAAGCCTGGGCACTGAGAAATGAACTTTTTACAACGACTCACACATCACGAGCTCAGACTCTGCTTTCTCTAATGTAACCAACGCAGTCGTTTTGTGTTGCATGATGTGCCTCTGGGCTCTCTGTGTGTAGTGCTTAGGTCATACATAGGAGCCAAGACACCAGGGATGGTAAGGATCCTTGCAGGTAAAGATGTCCTGCAATTATGCATTCCTTTTAAAATATAGTTCTAGCACTTCACAGATTTTTATAAGTCTCAGAATAAAAAGAGATAGTAGGGCAGTTGTGCAAGATTAATCACCAAGGAGGATAGCATGTCAAATGCATCAACTTTGACAATGACAGATAACTCTTTGCCAAAGATTTCCCTGGGACAATCCTGGGATTCTATTATTAGTTTCGAAATCCGGATCCCAAGAAAATCTTAAATATTCATTTAGAACTAACTTCCAGTGGTTCTTAACTTGGGGGGTAAAATTTACACCAACTTCCCTGTAAAGGGTGTAGCAGCATGACTTCCTTGAAGTATGTTATCTTCCCTTCTCACTTTTAACAATATAAACAAGTGCAACATCTAGAAAAGTAATATTACCATACAGATGCATCAATGTGCACATGAGAATTATGATGTTTGCAAGACTGGATTTCTAATGTCTGTTTCTTCTTATTGGATAAGCTTGCCTTGATTTGTGAGAATTGAAAATGGTACTTTTAGATAGGATATTAAGGATCTTGTTTCAAAAACAGCTACACTTTGAGTATAGCAGCCTCTACATCAATTTTCATCCACAGTCCAGTTGGGATTAGGAAGAGAAAACATGCTGTAATGATAAAAAAACAAATGCATAAAACAGGAAATGCTCAAGAAATTTCAACCAAAGACAGAATTCTCAAGGGACTCATCAAAATTTTTCTTCTTTCAAAGATTTCAAGAGATTGGTGAACTTCTGCCATGAGAGTTACTATTAATTTTAACATGTTGCTTTCCATTCAGAACTCATACAAAATTTAAAACAAGTTGGTTTAACTCAGTATGTAAAATCTCACTAACATTTGATTATGACTCTGAGAATAACCCACTCTTTGGGTTCATGAACCAACTGAAATAAAAAAAAATCAGCCCAAACAGACCTAAGATTGAATGTTGCTATATTGTTTTTCTAGCAAAGCAACAAAAATCCACATTGTTCTCTTCCAGGTCTTTTAACATGTACACAGCAACAATCCACCACTGTTACACTAAAACTGCACTAAACGCAGCATCTCACAGCCTTACTCCAAAAGGAAACACATAAAGAGAAGTGAAAAGCAAGTGGAATATGGGCTTAAATGAGAACTACCTACTTGGAAAAACACCAATAATCAGCAGAAGGTCTTGCTTTCCGCTTTAGCTCCACTGAGTTCACCCAGCTTACAACAATCTCATTTTTCATTACTTCAGTTTACATCCACAGATGACTTCAGGCAATCACCCTGACATCAAGTAACACTGGCTATGGATAAGAAAAATGACACCACGGCAGCTTTTGCACTTCATTTTGTAGCTAATGGTGCGGTACAAATTCACAGTGCCTTCTTTCAATTTGAGCAAAAATAATACCTTCCAAATGTGGCTCCTGAACAAGAAGAGACATGCTTCAGGCAACTTTTCTACAACTACATGGGCCTGGAGAGTACCCAGGTTGAACAGAACAGCCTGAGAAAAATCAAAGAAAGTGAACATCTCAATGGATCCTGTTTAGCTGTTTTACCCCAAGACAGACTAGGCAGCAAATCCTCAGGGTATCAAGGCTTGAGGGAGACCTGCCTAATTACAGCATCCATTCTAGTTCTCTCTTAGAGAATTTTGTGACAAACATAATTGAATAAAGACTCTGGAGAGTAAGTTCCTGCACAGGCCTCAACCAGTGCTTGACCAAACAGCAGTACCCTTCCCTGAAACTGCTGAAAGACCTGGAATGAAACTGAGAGGACACAATTCCTTCAGCATAGCCAGGGAATGCAAAGGAGGGGAGTCCCCAGAGTTGGAAAAAGCTGACTTGATACCAGGGAAACATCGCATTTTATGCCAGGCACTATGCAGAAGAGTAGCAGCACATATTACATGATCTCCCTGTAAGACAGGGCAGGACACGGATATGTTCTAACACCTGTTAAATCACACACACAGATTTGCTTGAAGGGAGAAGATCCTTTTCTTCCCTGATTACACAGAAGAGTATATGGATGCATGTTTACAACAATGTAGAAATCCAGCTTCCAATCCCTGTTCTCCCTGAAGACACCTGAATTTACATTTTCCACCTCTTAGTGCCAAAGAATTTAGGTAGTGGGTGTTCTTCTGGATGAAGGAGATTTATTTAAAATATTTTAATATTTATAAGAGTAAGAACTGAAGTCTAAGCATACCAGACCTTTCACAAATGCCCTAACAAGCTGTGTTCACTGTCATGGCCTCATGAATATTTAGAGATAATTATGAAGAGGAACAGTTTACCCTAAAAATATGCATGTCTGGTCTGTGACCAATTACAAGAAGATACTATTCTCAGTGTATGTGGTAAGCACATTCTCTCATTCTGAAAACTTCTAATAGGGTAAAAACATTTTCCCATATCACTAGCTTCAGTTACCCTTATTCTGTATTTCAGAGTCCTTTCTGTCCAAAGAAAACCCGTAGTTTTGCTGAAACCAGAATAATATGCACAGACTATGAGTCACAGGACTTTCCTACGTACAAGTTAGATATCCTTTGTGAAACACAGTGCTTCCCTTGAGGAACACAAATTCTCAGAGAAGTGATATCAGAAAAATTGCATTTCCAGCACAGCATTGGATAAAGACTTTTCTGTGGCCTTAAAAACAGTCACCTCTGCTTTTTCCAGCTATCCTCCTGGGGGGCAGACGAGACTGAAGACAATATACACTTTCAGAGAAAACTATTTTTAGTCATGCCTAAGTCATGCCAAAGACTGGTTCAGCATTATCACATTCTAAGCAACTACCAGCAGCTGCTGTTTCACATCCTATTTACTATGCAATCTCCCCAGTAGCCTAAGGAATATCAAAACTTACTGGAGAACAGTTAGAACTGTCCCTTTTGTCCATGGGTTCCTGGTGGACACAATATAAATAAACATTAAATCACTAAAATTATCATGAAAGCTTATTTTTAAGTTATTTTTCTTGCAGTTGACACCAATTTACAAAGATCCTCCAGAAAATAATTCACAACACAGCAGATTTCTATCTCTACCAGACTTACTTGCCAAAATGCGGTGGCAGGTGAGGGAACAGGGCAAGTACAAGCTCTTCAGGAAAGCTGCAAAAGACCACCACTAGAAATGAACACTTATTCAACCCTTTAACATTCAGTGATTCATTTATTAATCTGAGCAGCTCACAATCTCACAATAGTTAAGAGAGCTGTAGAGAGCAATAGTTCAGTAGGAAAAGAATAGGAAGCATGTTGAGACACTTGCACAATGCTTTAAGCTCTCCTATGCCAAGGGCCTTCCATCTGCTGGTTGAAGCCTTTCCCCATAGCACTGCAGCCTTTTGTTCACAAGTCTGCACCCTTTCCCTGGTGCACTGCGAGGACGCCGTAGCAATATTTCTATCTATGACCTTCTGTCCTTGTCTCCTGCTCTCCTTGTTCTCCCAACTCTGCACCTGCAAAGCCCAAGTGTGCTATGTCAGGGTTCCCATGGAAAATGGTGGACAGTCATGCAAGAATCATTCTTTTTCCCCCTCATACTTCCCTACCCCATTTCATAAAATTTACACAAAAGAAAAAAACAAAACCCAGCAAATAAAACAGTGGACAGTGGTCCTTTAACTAGTAGACAGGCATTTCCTAGTGACATCCATGCTTAACAATCAATTAAAGTGCAACTCTTGCCTCTCATCAGAGTGTGCTCCAATCAGCACTAACAGCATCACAAGCAGGAAAACCAGCAGGGAGTTTGAGCAGGTCCTGATGAAAACTACTATGGCAAACTACTATTGCAAACCATCTGTAGCACTAGATGGGATGCCTAGGGAGAGAAGAGTCACCTGGGATGATCCCTATGATGGTTTTCTTTGCTGGTCAGTGCAGAGTGTTTTCCCTTAAGATTCTTCCACCCTTCTCATTTGTTTTTTGGTTTTTTTAATTGTTATCAAAAGTAACTGTTACCATTAAAGTTGTCATTTAGCACCAGCTATGGACTGTCTCATCATCCTTTGTGTTTGAAAAAACATACAAAAAATTGCCATAATTCTCATGCAGAGAGGCAGCAGCAGGTTTATCAATCACATCCTTTGTGATGTTTATGTTACTGCTATGACTGCAACTTAAAGACCACAAGGACTCAGAATCAGAAAATCATTTTCTGTACAGTTTTCTTCCACAACAATGTATTTGTTTTAATCAAAATGTTCTTAAAATGTACACCATTTTCTACAGAAGGTCACCATGATAATTCAGCACTGGCTAAATACAATATAAAAAAATATCAGTTGTCTCAAAGATTGTAAAAACTGCAAAAGTAAAAGTTACATTTTTAAGAACTCCAATGGCCACATGGATATTATTCTTTTGTCTCAGCTGAAAAAGGAAAAACTAAACCCACTGTACAATTCTGGTTTGTCAAGCTTGCAGGTTCATGTGATCCACAGTGTCCAAACCAGAAACAGATAATCAGCAATTAAACATTATCCTATGTTTTAAAATCTATTAGCAATACATAACACATTGGTGTTATTCTTAACATACAAAGTATCCATTAAGGTCATTTATGGCTTATATAGTTCTTGACTGCAGGGTTGTTCTCATTCTTTCTTTTTGGTAAAGTCATATGGTTTCCACCACTGTGCGAACTGCAACACCTTCTTCCTCTGTTCTTCAAAGTTCTGTCTGATTCCTTTTCTCCAGAGCCGCGGTTCCAAGTCCAGCATGCCACCAATAATTTCCTTTGCAAGTAGAAGAAAGACAGATAATGGTAAATGCAAAATTACCATATTAATTAACGCTATTTTACAATAAAGTAAAGAAATATGTATTTTCAAACTACAAGATTGTCAGTTTTCTTAAAGTGCTAATTAAAACTTGAAATTCTGAAAAATATACCAATTTAAAAAATAAGACAATTTAAAAAATAGAACTGCAGCTGTTAGATGGTTGCCTCAGCAAATTCTTTTAAGCACAGCATACCGATTTACTGCTTAAACATCCTAACATTGCAAGATTGTTAATGTATCAGTACCTTTGTGACTAAGGTAAGTTCAGAAAAAGAAAGTTGCCTACTTTGCTGTTTCTGGTGTTATATTTCTCCCCAGTCACTCTTAGTGTTTTTGTCACACTGACTCTTCCCATATTACAGCTCTTCCTGTATAAACAGTACACTGTATACCATGGGGAGTAATCTAACCACATGAGGATTTTCATGGCAGTTGTCTGTGAATCTGTATGGGTATGCACCCTAATTTATACAAGCAGGAATCAGTGCACCTATATGTCAATACTACAGCCATAAAAACTCTTAAATAGATGCAAGTATTTTCCACCTGTAAGATTAAATATCTATAATGTCAAATAGCAACACTTCCTACTAATTCAAAAGAAACACAAATCTAGAACCACAATCTGAGTATGAGCTAATGAAAAAATCAACTGATCCTTTATTCAACAAGCCAAGTTACAATGACTCATCAAGAAAAGACAGACAATAAACTGAGATAGGGTATATCAAAATAACTGTTCTGACAGCATCGGTTTTAATTACTTAAATTTTCCAAAACAAAGTATAATTGGTAAATTAATCTTTTACGTAACAATACCTTCCCAAAGTAATGAGGGAAATTGTGTTGATCTTCAATCACATGAGCAAATCCTCCTTGAAGGCCAAAGTCCACAGAAAAGTATGGTAATCCTTTAGGAACCTGTATGTGCAAAACCACATTTTCAGATGTTTAACAAAGTGTTGGCATTTAGTCAACCTCCCCACAACTGAATGAATTTCAACATGGTTTTGCAGTTGATATAATAACATTTTATTTTAAACCACCTCTCAAACCAACTACATGCAGCATAAAAATGCAAGAGAGAAACAGTAAAGCAAACAGGTAAGGGGAAAGAAGAACACACAGCAACTAGATAAAAAGACACAGAAGAGATGACTAGTGGGTGGCAGAACCTCCAGAGGCCACTGTGCTGCACCAGGTAAGACACTGGGGATGGACCAGGCAGCAGTGGGCACACAGAGCAAATGCCTTCCTGACTCCACATCTCTGGACTACATGGGTTTAGCAGAAACTTTAGGACAACCACTAGCAAGTTGCATTTATCAAAGGTAAGGTGTTGAGTGGTAACAGCAAATATTTACCCAGTGAAAACACTGACACTCAGGGAGAAGGGGAAACACCTTTATGGAAAATACATCACGAGAAACCCCATCTACATGACTGGAAGTTATCAATAACTTGCCAAATCAGATAAGTTAGTAATTCAGTCAGACTACAGAGAAGAAGCTGGATATCCTGCCACAACATAGACCTTTCAGCCTGACAGAGAGAAGTGGATCCATTTATTGCTACAGTATTGCAAGTAATTTTTGCTGTTTCACTGTAATAACTTATTTTCCACTCTTTTAATTGTTGAGGATGTTCCTGTACTGATAAGATTTACAAAGCCTCCAATTCATAAGCATTTTCTCTGCTACAATCCAAATAGCTACACAATTTTCATGAGGCATGTTCCATATATTGCTTAAAAATTGACTCAAAATAATTAAGATTTAATACAGAGGAGCAATGTAGCATAGCAAGAAACATAAAACATTTTAAATGGACTAAAAAAAATTATTAAATAAGGAAAAATGGGTCGGCAGGTGAGACCTTAAGAAAAAGGTCAGCTTTATCTTATTTGTGTCTAGCAAAGCATCAGGTCTGACTGGGATGGAGTGAATTTGCATCACAGCAGCCCATATAGTGCTGAGTTTCAGACTGGTGCCTAAACCAGTGTTGACAGCATGCCAGTGTTTCGGCTATTGCTGAACAGTGCTGACTGCTGGGTCAACTCTCCTGTTGTGTACCCTCCCAGCCCACTGCTACCCTCAGCACCCTTGCTGCAAGGAGCAGAAGGAGAAGCAGAGAAAGCCTCGATGCTGTGCAAGGGCTGGATGCTCCAGCTCTACCTCTGGACACAGGTTTGGCACACAATCCACCCATTAGGTGATGTCTCAGCCGTGTCTGACCCTCCTTCCAGGTACCACCCTCTCTCAGTACGACTCTCCAACTTCCCAAAACTCAGCTCTGTCTCTAAGCTATACTCTCCAATCTTTCTGAATTTCCATTACCCTAAAATAATATTAAAATCTCACAACTGTGTAACAATTTACACTCAGACACATTTTATTAATTTAAAGAATCATCCTGACTTAATCTGAAAACTGGCCTACCTTCAAACAAGTATATAATAGTCACAAAAATGTATGGTTAGGAAGATTCTTCAAGAACTCTGGTGTCCTAATGCCTTACAATGTGTCAAGAAAATTATACTTCACTTTTTGGTGATAGATGTTGGTTTTTCCTGTTCTGAAACAACAATGAGCAGAAGATATCCCAAACATACTTATTTTGTCTTCTGTTTACATCCACCTTAAGTTTATAGTCTTTCCTAAACCCTTGTTGCAAATTAATTGCATCCCTTGCTCTTCTGCACTCCATCTCCCTTTTTGTAGTATGTGGCTTCATGTCTTGTTGTTAAAACTCATCTCCTCTCTCCTAAACTACGATCTTCTTTTAGTGAAAAGGTGCTATATTTACCAAAAGACACTATTAAAAATTGAGTGTTATTACTACATAGTAGTAAACTACTTGTGGTAAAGTCTATATAACACACATCTTCCACTTCAATATTAAAAAGATAGAACAATCTTTGAACCTAACGAATCCAGCATTGCTCCTTTAACATTTGTTTATACAAAGAGGTTTCAGCTCAGTATCCAGGAGATAGAAAGAGCACTGTTCCCTTGTTTTAGAAAGAAAGAATCATAATGCTATTTATATTTTCACTTCACAAACATAGCAACGCAAATGGCTGTTGTAGGGCAATGAAAAAGAAATATCATAATTTCTCCAGGAAAGTAATTTGCAAATCTTTGATCTACCTTAATTCTTAAAGTTAATCTAGAAACATACTGGTACACGTCCTCAAAGTGTCAGCTTTGTTCTCAAAAAATGCTTGCAGCTCAGTCCACCAACTGTTGAAATAAATGAGAATCTTTTCCCTAATGTCAGTTAGGAGTTCAGTCAGACTGTTAATTCTCACCATACCTATGCCATCTTCTCATGCACTAATCCAATTGTGTTCCCTTTCTTCTCTCTTTGAAACAGTTAGTAATGAAAAAAAATTAGAAGAATTTGCTGAGAAATTCAGTGTTTAATACATTACATTACTTACAGATTTCCGAATGTCTTTTGAAGAAAGATCAATTAACTTCTTGTTCATAGACCACTCTTCATCAGACTCCATTATAGCTTTCTGTAAAATCATTTTATCTAAATGTGAAAATAGTCCTACATGCAGCAAGCAAAGAACTAACTGTAGTGAAGTACATTGTACAGCAAGTAACAATTACTTCTTAAAAAAGTAACTTTCTTTTTGGTAACTTTTCTGATTTCCACAACTTACTTACTTTACAAAGACATCATATATCTTCAGACTCACTCTATTCACTTCCACTATTTCTTTTTTTTTGAGATTTAACTTTTGCTTTACACAAATCATCTCTAACAAGTTTCAACTACAAAGTCACATTCTGTTTTTACTCATCCCATACAAACCCTCTTATGAATTCATTATACTATATTAACCTGTTTGTTTTTTTTTAAACACTAAGAGGAGAATCCAGCTTAGAAGGCTGACTGCCCTTAAAAACCTTTAAAGCTGACTCTGTATTCTCCATAGTACAGAACTGGGTATTGTGTAGTGTAGGTGTCTTTTCAATTTCATTTGCTGTGTACTTTCATGGTAGAAACTTCTGAAAGACAAGTTTTAGGCAAACAACATTGCATTAAATCTTGTACTCCCTCCTTCCTTGAGTATTCAGACAAAACACAAGTTTTACAAGAACCTGAAGCATAGTAGTCATATCTAACAGGTGGAAAGTTTCAGATGTTATAAAAGTTACTGCATTGTTCTTCATCATACTGCTTCTCTACTTCATCAAAAAACAATCACATTATTTCCAGAAAGCAAAACTAATATTTCAAAGAACAAATAAAAAAATTACTGATAAAGGGTGAATCGTGATCCAGTTGCTTAAAGGCCTCAATTCCAGACAAAAGCTTCAATGTACCTTTCCTTACAGAGTCAAGAGAAAGAAACCAGAAAAGTTGGCGATAGAAGTATCTGTCATGTTGTCTTACCATTCATCAGAGACCTAAGACGTGTAAAATTTGGACTTACTGAAATAAAATGGGGATGAAACAATATATACATTGGTATTTCTTAAAACAGTTGACATTATTTTCCCATTTTATGCTTGCCAAGGCACATATATGGTGTTTTAAGTTTAGACCACAGGACTTAAGTGAGAAGTATTGCAATCCTTAAAGCAATTCAAGAGACTACAATTTGTCAGTGCAGTCAGACTTGCGACAAGTGCTCAGTCACATACAGATCTTCCACTGACTACTTGAAAAACTGAATTACCTCACAGGTCTTGTTTTAAGATCAAGGAATATGATCAAAGAATGGATCAAGAAGTAGGATCAAAGAACACATCTTTTCAAAAATAGCACTGGAATATAAAAATGTTTTCCAGAAATAGGTGACTTATGATACATACATTCAAATGACTTAAGAAAAAACTATTTTTGTGTACCTTAAAGTAGATTGGAGCCATATCTCCTACTTCTTTTGGAAGAGGAATGCATTCATATACCATATGATATCGTTTCTTCATACTCATGTTTGTTTCTAGGAACACACAGTCCAAGTCCTTAGCTTCAAACATTTTCACCAATGCATTTCGGAACATCTGTTTAAAGAAAAAAAATGTGCAATTTAAATTAACTTTTCAAAGCTTTCAGACACATTATATTATTTAACTAATGTATTATATTTGTAATAAACTCACAATAAAATGGAAAACTGTAACAATCATACAAGGAAAATTCTGTATTATTCAGCAATTTAATATAAACTATATTTCCTATGGCACAAATATAAATTAAAACTATGTTAATCTTCATAACTGTAGCACTCCATAAAACAACATAGCTTTAAAAGTAGGTCCCAAGTTTGCGATTTCTAAGAAGGTGATGTCTTGGCTTGTACTGACTATAGTTACCATTATCCTTTCACTACTCTTTCCAATTATACAGTTTAATATAAAAAAAAAAAAAGGAAGATATTTTTACTAGGTATGCTTGATCTTCAAGTAAAACATTAACATTGCCTCAAAAGAAAGCCATGGCTGTAATCACCATCTTCATTGCATGTAAGTAAAACAAATGCAATACTTAATACATCTGGCATGTTGGCATGTGGTGAGAAGTGTGGGCCTGGCCTCTGTCATTCAGAAGCTGCAGTTAAGTTCAGGTCCTCGCTTTTGTTCCTTGCCTGAGCAAGTTTCAGAGATGCCTGTGCCCAGCCAGATACCTGGCAGTTCTTAGTGGCGCTCTGAAAAAAAAAAGCTAGACACGATCCCAGTATGGGGGAACTGGAATAATTTATTGAACACGAGAACATGATTTTAAAGGCATCTGAGGTTGGACATGTTAATGAAGGGGACAAGTTATGTTAATTATGGAATTACACAAGTTTTTACTGCAATTTCTAAATAGTTAATTTTTCTTCTAGTAGGATTACATGGGGGATAGAGGGATTACAGGGGTTTAGACATGGTTTGATACAATCATCTCAAAAGTCTTTTCTGACTTCTGCTGGAGCCAGGCTTGATCCATGAGGTAGAACTTTAACAGATCTTGTGAGAAGGGTCCAGCTCCTTCAGATCACGAGGTTTTTGTCAGCCCTTGTTTTCTAAGGTTTGTGATTCAGATTTATCAAGTTTCCTTTTGTTGAGAACTGGTTTTTGTCCCCTTCAGTTCTTGGCCCTGACTTCCCCTTCAACTTAAGTCATCACTGTAGACTTGTCTGGCCACCCCTGGGCCATGTCTGATCCTGTCTACCATCATGGGAACTGCTCTCTTCTCTTGGTCTGGGTACCATGAGACTGTGCCTTGTCAGTGAGATGACCTCCCCACCTGCTTTGCCCATCATCCACCCTTGACTTGCCTTCCTGAAGAGCAACTTGCTTTTGCTGCTCCAGGACTCTTGACAGTTGGTATTTGCATCCAAGATGTGCAAGAGCATCATTCTGTAGTTTACAGTGTAGATGCTGAACTAAACTGTAAAGCACAAAGGATGATTTCTGAGAGTCATTTAGACTTATTTTCAAATGCACAAAAGATCTGACTTTCTGACAGGGTGAATGTTTCTGAAAGTTTCTCAAGATCTTGAAAACTACTTTTAAAGATGAGGATTTTTTTATTATACATGTTCCCTTATACCATTTCCACAGTTTAAGCCAAGAAACCACAGAAACTGTAGGAGCCTCATAGACCAGAGGTACGATAGGTCTACGACTCACATAATTCATAGGTTGTCCTTTTTGCATTGTTTTCTTTTTCAATTAACAATGCTCAGAAAGACAAACAACACCATTAAAAGGTTATTCTCATCTAAAGGATTAATCCCATCTAAAGGTTAATCCCATCCCTATCCTAATGTAAATGGAGAGCTGATGAATCAAACTAGCATAAGCAAAAACATATATTCACCAACATCAGCATGTACTGAAGTAAAACAGAGGGAAAACAAATCACTATCACGTTTTCAATGAAACAGGTCTAGAAATTGAGCTCTCTTCTCTCCGCTCCCTTGCCATCTTGCACAGTATGAATCAAACTAAAAGGCTAAGAAATTTGGTCAAATATATATCTTAACTAGGTATTTAAGCACTTCAAAGCAGGTCTAGTGTCCTGAATCTTTCCTCACTACTGAGCTGCTCCATACTGTGACAGGAAAACACTACCATCATTCCCCTAACACAGCTGATGAAACAGAGTTAGAAAATACTGCCCAGTGTTCCATGGCTGATAGGGAACTTTACAGCACAGAGCAACAGGCTACTCTGAATTAATAGCTTGTGGCCTTCTCCTCTTCACTCTGACCCCCAGACCTTCTGAAATACAGTGAGACAAGCAACTGTGGTGAGGTAAGGGAAACACTAAACCAAAGGTTGGGAAAGACTATCACTTACTGTTGCTACCCTGCAGTATCAACTGAAATATAAATCCACCAAAAGCCTAGAATATCAGCAGATGTTAGCTAATATTTCCCCAACTGCATTTTCTTGTTTTTAAATGCATTTTTCCTCCAAATTTTGAGCAGGTCAAACCACCAAGGATAATTTGCACTGGAAAGGAGAAAACCATTCATAAGGGTAAATAAGAAGGCTTGGTTTATGCTCGGATGCACATGCCATTAATACATGCAACAGTTCAGTCAATACAGAATGTGTAAAGATTTATATCTTTTCATATTAAAAGTATTACATGCACATTTACTTTGCAAGTGAGTACATCAGTCTAAACTACACAATATGTTAAACTCAAGTGCTTGAAGGCATACAGTGTAAAAGGAACCCTTTTTTGCTTTACTCCAACATATCTTAAAAAAAATCTCAGCAAAAATAGTTAGCTAAAACATGTGCTCCATCCAACATTTTTTGAATATTTGAAGTGTGATAATTTTTTTCCCTTCAACAGCAATATGAAATAAATCTTTGGCATTAGAAAATTTAGTCACTGACTGTCTGCTAATACTTTTGCTAAAGCCTTCCAGACTCCTCCTACTGAATTACATAGAAGCTGGGGAAAAAAAAAACTCATCTGTGTCCATCACCTTCCAAAGTACTTTATTGCAAAGAAATGTTTAAGCTGTTTATGAATACATTCACTGGGTCAAAGGATAACGATTTAGCAACTAGTTGCCTTTTCTAGCAAGTAAAAGTCTAGTGTTAAATACAGGAACTGCATTTGTTTATCTTTCCTTTATCCTATTTTCCTTCTCATACAAATTTAGAAAAATTATAATTATTTAGTTAAGACGTTAAAATAAAGAGAAGTTCTAGGGTAAACATATTTATCACTTTCCCCCATGCTCTTTTGTTTCTCCTGATCCTTTTTTTTTTGCATTTATTTGCTTCTTATCCAACTTTCTTAGGCCTTTCTGTCATACACAACAGAACTCGTTTTCCTACCTCTGGGTTGAAGAGGGGGTTGAAGGGGAGCATAATTTACTAGGAAAACTGTATAAAAATTACAATCAGCCAAGAGAATCAATGTGGGGAGCAGATTTGGAAAGAAAGAGAATCTACCTGCCAGGCTTGAGGTAAGACCAACATTACTTAAATTATTTCAAACTTATGAATCATGCCAGTTTTAAATCTCAGCAACTGTAACAATGAAGCTATTCTCTAGTCTGAAATAGTCTCCAATATTTCAATATAGGAGGTTGCAAGTTGTTTTCCCCTTGTAATAATCCTGATGGCAGGCAGTGGGGGATTGACAAACACAGTGAATCTCTTAGGCAGAAGCTTGTTATATCCCTTCCTTGATTTTCCATCTCCAAAAAAAACAGAACTCCAAATCTTCAAAATGTCTTCATAAGACAATTGGAAAGCACAGGTCATCATGCTTGTCACTTTATTCTAATAATTCTTTTCAAGGAAGGTAGAAAACTGGATAATAACACTGATTTTAAGAGTAAGATCGTTCTCTTTCAATTGATATCCACCCAAACCCCACATTAGCTTAAAAATCTGAGGATATATAAACAATATATTTTCACCTTGTATTTAATTTTAAGTGATTTGCCTGCTCTGACAATCCTTGCTTTTACTTGGCACTCCCGAGAAAATCCTGTGAAGCCAGTTATTCCACTTTCTGTAAGGAATGAGTTGTACCTAATTCATCCCCAAAAGATGTTCCTTTTCAAAGACCTCCAACGATGCATGTTTTGTAACATTCCAAGAAATTTCTTCTAGAGCTTATGAATCGGAAATTTTCCTTGGCATTTACCCTGCTTCTCTTTTAATATTTGACCACTAATTTTCATCCATAATGTGAGAATGTTCTGCCCCTTAGTGGAATCAGAGAATAGCTGCCAGACTGCAAATTATGAAAATAGGTACTTATGACAAGTATATTATTATTTTAAAAAAAATTGTTTTATAGAACTGTCAGAAGACAGGAGACAGTTTCTCAGCAGACCTGGATTTCTTCCCAGATGTCTTCATCCAAAAGAGTGGCTGCAGTATGGTGCTGTAGAGGGGCTATCAGGCAGTGACCTTCAGTAAGGGACTGGTTGCTTGGTAGAGACAAGTACACCTACGAAAAGCAAAGAAAAACTGAGGTGCCCGTTTTTAGGTTAAAAACCTTCCATTGCTGAAGCTAAGAAATTCATCATTTGCTAAATTCAAACCAAGAGAAGCCATTATCTACTAATCACAGCAAGGTATTAGTAATTCTAGTGTTTTTTGAAAGATCCCATTATCCACCAGTAGCTTAAATGAATTAGTATTATCCAAACAGTAGTTCCACCAACAAGGCAGTAATAACAGCTTTATAAACCAAGTGGTATCATAACTATTATGAAAGCACACTGTTTAAGCAATTCCAATATTTTTTAATATAGATAAATATCAGCCTGCATTTTCAATAAAGTATTTCATATATATATATATGAAATGCATACTCTGTGTCATGGTTTACCCTGGCTGCATCATCTAACTGTTCACTCACTCCCTGCCCCCAGTAGGACAGGGGAGAGACTCAGAAAAAAAAATTAAATTTTTGGGTTGAGATAAAGACAGTTTAAAAGGACAGGAAATTGCATAATCAAAATAACAACAACAATAACAACAACCTAGAAAGCAAGTGATGCACAGTGCAATTGCTCACCACCTACCAACCGATTCCCAGCCATTTTCCAAGCAGTGGCCCCTGGTCAGCTTTCCCTCTAGTTTATACACTGAACATGGTGTCATATGATAAAGAATATTCCTTTGGTCAGTTTTGGTCACCTGTCCCAGCTGTGTCCCCTCTCAACTTCTTGTGCCCCTCCAGCCTTCTCAGTGGCAGGACAGTATGAGAAGCTGAAGAATCCCTGACCACTACTTAACAACAACTCAAAACATTAGTGTGTTACCAATATTATACTCATCCTAAATCCAAACCGCAGCACTGTACCAGCTATTGGGAAGAAAACTAACCATCCCAGGCAAAACCAGGACACTCTCTACACTTACCTACCTATTAGATATATAAACATATATATAAACACAGATTATATACACACATATACATATAGATCTGTATGAATTTATAGTCTCTATTAAAAACAAAAAACACAATGTACATAACACACATCTGTGCATTTAATTCCTTGGCCTATAAAGAGTTGCCGATCAAATAAAAACATCAATAATAAATGGAAACTTTGGAGAAAAAAATGACAGAAAAGGCTATACTGAGGCATTTCAGATGTTATAAATACAAATATTCATGCAACTTTTAAAAGCACTTACAGAAACAGGAAGGTTTCCAAGCCAAACTTCTGTCTATTTCAAAGGATTTTAAGCTTAAAAATGGAATTCTGCACTTAATTTTCTTTGATATCAAGATACAATTCTTGACCAGTTCAAATTTCCTCCAGTAAAGTGTGATTTAGTCTTCCACAAATCCATCTGCAGTCTAATCTCCGCACTGAGATCTTTCATTATTGCTCCTGTCTTCCACAAGTTCTGATATCAAAGATTAGCTTTAAAATTCATGAGAGATTTATATCTTTTTCTCCCTCATCCTTGACAAATTTGTGGAAGCAACTGGAAGGGCAAGGAAAATAAGATACAGAACCACTAATAATTCCATAGAAGCAATTTCATTCTTAATTTTAAGCCCTCTAACATAATTTCTTTTTTATTTCTACATTTTGTTAATTGCTATTTTCTTACCTTGGTGCCAATTGCAATAATAAGATGTTTAGAAAGTGCACTGCTATCAAAACAATATGGGCACTTTTCCATGCGTGCAGCAAGCTGCTGGTGCTCCTGTATTGCTTTTCTTCTTTGTATTTCTTCCTCTTCCCCACTACATGCTCTTTTGGCTGCTTTGGAAACAAACATGTCATCCAGAGTGTAGTAGTCTCTGTCAGTTTTTTCCATGAGCTGAAAGAATACAAAGAAAAATTGCAAATATATATAAACAAGTGAGAAAAAATACCTTAGCTCTTTGTAGTATCTTCTACTGAGAAAAGCATAAAGGATGTAAGCAGCAGCAATTCCTCCCCTCATATAGCATCTGCAGTAGATGCAATCATCAGGTGCATCTCCTGAGAGCAGTCATACACAATCTCAGGCAGCACAGATATTAAAATGTAGATGTGTGACAGCAGTGAGAACAGCATATTACTATATTCCATTTCAATTTAATGGCTAGGTATTTCAATATTATTTCTACATAACTTCATCTATCTTTAAATACGTGCCCAATTTTTTATATCATATATTATCATATATCTTTCCCTCTCATTTCTGCTCCTCCTCTCCTATTACAACTACCATTAAATCATCTTTTGTGAAATAACTAGACCATGACTCTGCAACTCATATTCACATTCTGTGAAAATATGTCAACAGTTTTTCTTATCAAATGAACAGTACTAAGCCACTTTCTGAAGGAAACAGTCTTTCCCTCCAATACTAAGTTTTTCTGAGTGCACCTGTTTCTAAATACAAATAACAAACACAACTAGCACATCACCAGAAACAAGGTTGAATGATTTGTAGGTTTTGTGTTTGCTCATTCATTGCTGTATTTTAGTTAAATGTCAAAGGAAACTCTGAAAATACCAAATTTGATGTGAAGACAGTCTTCAGGATAAGTGGTATCTTACAGGATCTTAATAGTAGAAACCTACACATACTGAATATGTCTCACCTCTCACCTAAATGATATTTGAAAGGGATGGAGTCTGTAGACATAAACTGGAAGAACTGAAGGAGACGCAAGGAGACAGAGGACATAGTAAGAAGTGAGACAATGAATGAAAAGGAAATTATGGGGATCATGGGACCCAAACCCAAGTGGTAGTAGATTCACTAAGCTTCATAACTCACAGAATACTCACACACATATATATATAAAATGAGGCTTTATAAATATTTTGGGGGATTACAAACAAATCCCATGACATCTTGCCTAAATCAAGACTTAGCAAATCTTGACTGCAAAGATTAACTTTTTAAATTACTTGGGAAAGTACTTCTCCATTTTCTGCTTTGACCACTCTACACAACTTTAAAATTATGTACCATTAATACCCTAAACAGTCAAAACTTACAGCTAAAGCAAATGTAAAGAGCACTCAGAGGAATATTTTAAATTTTTCACTTAAATGAAATCCCAGTGCTGCAATACTTTCATGCCATATTTGATTTTTTACCTTGGATAGTTTCAGTCATCTGCTTATCAAAATGACAGGGAGAAAAAAAACACTATGCTATACAGATTTCTTGATATTGGAGGTGCTGGTTCTTCAGTCTTGGCATTTTTATGTATGAGTAGTTCTGCTCCAAGAATTGCTAAAGAAATGGTACAAGTGTCTCCACAACAAATTCAGTGTAAGCTCCTAGCGCAGCCTGGATCCCACCCAAGGTATGTGTATCAGGCTAGAGCAAATCAGTGGAGAGTCTTAAAAAAAATTTTGGATTTTTCCTGGAAATAATAAATGTGTAGAAGTGTTCTTCATACAGCTAGAGGCCATGGGACCCAGACAACACCGCACTTTTGGTTTAAGATGTAATATATGTTGGTCAACAGACCTAGATGAAGCACATTGGGGAAGGAAGTAAAATAAACCTAAGTTTACTTTGGAGAAGTAAAAAAACAAGAAACTGTAGGCCAAAATGTAGAATTCTAGGGAGAAAAGACATAGTAAAGGGATATTCAGAGAAGGTATATTCACAGATCAGGTTCAGATTACCTCTACCACAGAGTCTCTACCAGGAACAAAATTATAGATCCTACTGCAATATTAATGAATAACAGAAGATAATAAGAATGCAATGCAATTCAAGAAACCAACACCCCAGCTTCAAAGACATTAAGTAAGTGCTTGAAGTAAGCAGGGTCTTAGAAAAAAGTTCAACCTACTCGTGCAATAAAAAAAGCCTAGTCATTAATAATTCAGGTCCACTTGGATGCTCTTCAAGAACTATCCCCTTCCCTTTGTGAATGAAAACAGACAAGGACAAAGTGTAAAAACAACAGGCTACTTTTTTTCCCTTTTTCATAGCTTTAAAGAGATGTTTATAAGACTTTTATTCAGGTCGTAAGTCTAGCACATTAATTCACAGTGCCATTAAATTGCACTTCTGAGACAAAGAGACCAAGTTACAGATGGTGACCCTGCTCCTGTGAATCCTCATTTCTTGATGTGTTTTATCACATGCTTTAGATTACTTTAAAAGAGTGTTAAAATAAGATATATTTTCACTTTTAATAGCAGCCATGAAAGGAATAACAATTTTTTTGCAACTTTCCTATTACCACAGTGTCCTTCCAATGTACTTCAAAACGGTTCAGGAAGTACAGAAAATGAAAATCAGGCAAAAATATCATCCAGCAAGAATTCATACTTCTACTGAAATAAGATATGTAAGTGGGAAAATCTATTCAGAAATGTTTTCTGTCTTAAAAACAAACAACCAAACAAACACTAATGACACTTAACTCTGCAATACTGCAAAAGTAGCAATGAACATTACTAACATATTCCTGGTCAGTACCAATAAAAAAAAATAAAACTTTTAAAAGCTAGAATTCCTTAAATATGATTACCTCTCAAGTCCTATAAATGCCAAATATCAGTGTCAAAAGTGAAATAAAATACAATGTAGCTGCTACCATGGCAGATTACAGAGTACTCTTCAACTGCTAGTCTAAATACTGGCCTTTTAAAAAAAGTTATTCGGGAAGAAAATGGAAATTCTCTTTTAAAACATTTATACTCCAATTTGAACAATAAGGCGCCCAATGTGTTCTGCCAATTGCATTACTGGGCTATAACTAAATCTCTCCAAAAAAGTTAAAGGAGAATTGAAAGAACAAGAAGAAAGCGTTCTCCAAAATGCCATTAGGAAAGCAAGTAATAATTTAAAAACGGATTTCTTTCACACATATCTTCTTCCATTCAAAAGACAGAGTTAGTAGACATCCAAAGAAGGAATTATGCTGATGTACTAGAATTGCATCACAGATGCAGCACCACACCTGCTAAACATGAAAGTCAGTGCATGAAGTTGTGCATTTAGTTTCCTCACTGTGCTTATATTGCTTAGTATTGTCCTTCCTGGTCAGGTGCTGTACAGAGATCAGAAAGAAGCAGGAAGTTGCTTTGATATATCAGTTTAAAGTCAGGATGTCCTACAAAACATCATTGAATTGTCTAAAATTCCTAAAACAGGAAATTCAGATATCTATAAAGGCAATGCACATGAAGTCCTTCTTTCTATCAGACACTGGCCAAAGCTGAGAGCTGAGCTAAGTTAACATGCTTAGACAGATCACTTCCACAGTTCCCAGTCTTCTTTTTCCTATTTCATTTACTTTGTTCTGGGCTTATCTGCCATGTTCTTCCTTCCTATACACCCTCTGTTTTCCAACTTTCCCTTCTCTTTTGGCAAGCACTGATTAACACACAGGCAGCTTTAGGACTCTTAGCACCAGGCAAAATGACACTGCCTCCCACGTCTCACAGCGTAATTGTGCAACTGCGTCCTTTCTACCATCCAACAGAATCACAGAATCAACTAGGTTGGAAAACACCTCTGAGATCATGAGTCCAACCTATGATCGAACACCACCTTGTCAACTAGACCATGGCACTTGAGACTGGCTGTGTTCAGTCTTTTCTTAAACACCTCCAGGGACAGAGAACAGTGGTGGAAGAATCCACCACTTTCCTGGGCAGCCCATTCCAATGCCAAATCACTCTTTCTGTGAACAAAATGTCTTATCTAAATCTCCCCGATGCAGCTCAAGACTGTACCTTCTTGTCCTACTTTGCCTGGGAGAAGAGACCGATTCCCACCTGGCTACAACCTCCTTTCAGGTAGTTGTAGAGTGATGAGCTCTCCCCTGAGCCTCCTCTTCTCCAGGCTAAAGAACCCCAGCTCCCTCAGCCTCTCCTCATAGGACTTCTGCTCCAGTCCCTTCACCAACTCCATTGCCTTTCTTTGGACACACTCAAGCACCTCAATGTCTTCCTAAACTGAGGGGCCCAGAACTGGACTCTCATGGTGCAGCCTCACCAGTGCTGAGTACAGGGGAAGAATCACTTCTCTGGTCCTGTTGGCCACACTGTTCCTGATCCAGGCCAGGATGCCATTGGCCTTCTTGGTCACCTGGGCACGCTACTGGTTCATATTCAGCTTCCTGTCAATCCAAACTCCCAGCTCCCTTTCTGCCTGGCTGCTCTCCAGCCACTCTGTGCCCAGCCTGTAGCACTGCAGGGGGTTGTTGTGACGAAAGTGCAGGACCCAGCATTTGGTCTTGTTGAACCTCATATCGCTGGATTAAGCCCATTTATCCAGTCTGTCCAGGCGCCTTTGCAGAGCCCTCCTACCCTCCAGCAGATTGACACTCACCTCCAACTTGGTGTCATCTGTAAATTTGCTAATGGTACACTCAATCCCCTCGTCCAGATCATCAATAAAGATACTAAACAGAACTGGTCCCAACACTGATCCCTGGGGGACACCACTAGTGACCGGTCGCCAACTGGATGCAGCACCGTTCACCAGCACTCTCTGGGCCCAGCCCTCCAGCCAGTTCCTAACCCAGCACAGAGTGCCCCTGTCCAAGCCATGGGCTGTCAGCTTTTCCAGGAGTGTGCTGTGGGAGACAGTGTCAAAGGTTTTGCTGAAGTCCAGGTAGACACATCCACAGCCTTCCCCTCATCCACCAGGCGGGTCACCTGGTCATAAAAGGAGATCAGGTTGGACAAGCAGGACCTGCCCCTCCTAAACCCGTGCTGGCTGGGTCTGATCCCTTGTCCATCCTGTAGGTGCTGTGCGATTGTACTCAAGATGATCTGCTCCATCACCTTGCTGGGCAATGAGGTCAGGTTGACAAGCCTGTAGTTTCCCAGATCCTCTTTCCAGCC